AGCATGAAGGCGTATCAACGATGTCGTCATCAAAAAAAAAAAAAAAAATATATATATATATATGTATATCATAAAGCACTTTACTTTCATCGCTTACCAAGCTGATAGAGTGGGCAGGACACCCCTCGAGCGGGCCGTTCCATGTTGTGCCACGTGACTAGCTTAGTTTCCGCGAATGCCACCAGTCTAGCGCTCCCCGGAGAAAGCCGCTCGCTCGCGCGTTATAGACAAGTGTGATTAGCACTGTACTTACTACTTTGCTTGAAGGACATGACATCTAATTTACTTTGTACTTTACTTAAGTAATTTTTAGATTAAATTTACGCAACACTTCAAAAACAACCAAACATCGTCTGCAAAATCAAGCCCAGGCAGTGCTAAACCTCAAAGTAGGAATGATACATCTGCAGTGCATCATTGACCAAAAAAAAAAAAAAAGTACAAAAGAATTAGGCACGCAGAAGCAGAACCAGCTATTAAAGCATTTCTGTGAAAACACAAACCACTTTATAATTGGCTAGCAGAACTTCGCTAACGGATCAAAACCTATGTACTTTATTGTTACCATAAAAATATAAAAGTGGCTTCAAAAGTAATTCGCTACATTTTTACGGTAGTTAGTAATTTATTCAATTTCTTTCTATTTGAGTAATTTCTACTCTACCAAAATTACTTTTGAGACTAATACTCAGTAACTTAATTACCTTTTTTTTTAGTAAATTGTACATGTTTGCATGTTTCCCATAAAAAAAAAAAAAAAAGTTTCGATGAATTGTTGCGTTGACACCAACCAATTCATTTATTTATTTGAAATACTGTGGATCTTGCGGTCTACAGAGGAGGGGAAAACGGAATACATAACAAATATTTATTCATTCACTCAAACAATCTTGCTAAGTAATTCATCCAGCTGGGTTGCAAATAACTGAGGAGTACAATTGACACGTTGTGCGTGGACAGAGCCGTGCCACTCAATCAGTTCTCTAAAAAATTTTCAAAAAAATTTTTAACGTAATTGTTTTTGTGTTTTTATGTAGCAACTGCTTCAAAATTCCTCGCCCTCTGGGAGCGCCCTATTTCGGAATAATAATTAGATAGGTCGCCGTGTACAATTCACTCCATTATTAAACGTGTTTGCGGTCGAACTAATTTGGGAAGGAAAAGTATTTGAGTATATTCAATTAAATGTATCCGTATTCTTGTATCTGTATATCTAGGTACATACTTTTCTGCAATTTACTCGGACGTATTTTAGAACTATCGCGATGCACCGGCAAAACAAATATGTACCTCGGTATCTATAATATGGCTTTTCAGTACATGAATCTGAGTATTTGTATTTCCAAGTATACTTTTCCGAGTATCTCTGGCGCCAGCCTTGATATTTACTCCTCGCCCGCGGTGTACAAGATTAGACTAGAAAAAAAAAAGTTTGTTTACTTTTTTGCAGAACATGGACACAGCCAATCGCAGAAAACAAGTGAAGCATCCCAGCTCGCCCCTGTCTCGAGTGAACTGTTCGATAATTGAATATAGACGAAAAGCGCTCCGATAAGCACAAGGACGAAGGAAGTGACACGACAGTGCGCAATGAACGCAATACGTCACTTCCTTTGTCCTTGTGTTTATCGGCTCTTTTCGTGTAAAATAAGTCAGGCGCCAACTATAACCCACCGATCAATTTAGTTGGAAACTGTACTTTTGGGTTTATTACTTCTCGCGGGGCGACGTGAAGGGATAATAACAAACATTTTTTTTATATTTTTGTGTGCGTGTTTGTGACCGTATTGCTTACGCGTGTACAACGTGCATTGAATCTCAACACAGTGAACACGCACACAGACAAAGTTATAAATCCTAAAACGTGCGCAAGTCGAGATATCGCTTACGAGACGCAAATCACTGCATTTCTCCCGACAGCGCGGAAAAGATATCAATTATTGAACTCGTTCTTTAATACTCTTTTTTTTCATTTTGTGGCACTCACATCCGCCGATAGTTCCGCCCGCGCTAGAGGTTCCGCGACCGCGAAGAATCCATACATATCGAGCAGGAAGAAGTCACTAATATACATAGAAGTAGTCGTCGGAAAACTCGACATCGCGCCCTTGCGCCACTCCGTCGAAAGGCCAGGCGACACACGTTGTCGTACCAAACACCCACAACTACACAGGACGGGACCCTCCAAGTGAATTCCGCCGACGGAGACGGTCGAGCTGCTTCTTTAAAGCCTCGGAGAAGTCGTCCCAAGGAAAACGCGGTTGCCCCAAAGCACGTGTAGGCAGGCAGACATATGGCAGTACGGGGACCTGGGTACGCGACAAGATTTCTAAACGCGTCAGAAGTTTCCGTTTATTATGCACTTTCCACCAAACCAGTGTTAGAGGAAATCATATTGCGGGAGACGCCACCAGTAATAGTAATAATAATGATGAAAAAAAAGTAGCATGAATCGAGTTTCAAGGCTAAGTCGCCCGTTACACAAAGAAGGATCCTAGCGGTCTTCAACGATGTTTCATTTGTCTCGTACCCGTATAACAGTGTGACCCGCTGTGCGCTCATTAAATCTAGCAGTATATATATATATATATATATATATATATATATATATATAAAGTGACAAAAATTTAAAGTTAATAAACAGATAAAATCAGAAGAAGACGCGAATATGCAGTGAAGGAAATAAAACGGAATGAGAACTTTAAACATAAGAAATTACGAGACCGTTTAAAATAAATTTGTAAGCAGTGATAGAGTGCAGGAGAGCTGGTAATTAATCGACATCTTGTAGATTCTGAGATGGGATGACGGATGAACACAACCAAATCTCAAACTCTTCAAGATTTTGTTGTGTTCGTCCATTTTTTTTTTAATTATTTTTCCCCGTTTAAGGGTCTACAATATGTCGAGTGAAGTAAATATAAAGAAGAAAAAAAAAACAGACACACACACAAATACAAAGTATGATGTTCGCTGCAGTGTTTACTTTCCAAAAGAAAGTCCGATTTTTGTTTTTGTCCACTTCCTTTCTTTTTTTAGAAAAATCGGCATTGAATAAGTACAGACAAAAAGTCCCAACTTCAAAATGAAAACGGCCAAAAGAAAAAGAGGCATGCTCGTTATGGTGGTATAGTTTGCGATGCCGAAATGACTCTGGACTGAAGCCCCATAAACAAGTGTCACGCGATGCTTACAATGTGGATCGTGCGCTACATACGCGAACAACGAGCTGAAACGTTGTCCGCATATGGACGCGCATCGAGTTGTCAACACACAACCACACACGTGTCATTCGCACCGCATGTCACCGGGATTTAAAGAGAGAGAGGAAAAAAAAAACGCTGGGCCGGAAAGCAAACAGCCGACTACCACAACACTCACCTTGGTCAGCCACTTGGACAGCCGGTTGACGTCCCATTTCTGGACAATCCTCGCGGGGGGCATGCGCACCGAAGTTGACATCTTCGCGTTGCTGAGTGAATCGCACGGAAGGAGCCGGCGTGAGTGCTTGGAGAACGTCTCCGAACTGTCATGCGTGCACCTCCCGATGGGAGTGTCCCGCCACAGGAACACCCGCGAGCGGATCGCGCGAATGTTATCCCCGCGCGCAGAGGTAAACAGAACCTATTCTTGGAGCGACAGGCTTCTACGGTGCAGCTGGTTCCGTTTTTTAACCTAAATCACCCGAGATATCTGGGGGTTACGCCGAGAGTAGAAGTGTCGATCGAGTGAGAACCAGCCTGGAAGTTTTAAAAATTGCAATGAACTTCGTTTATCCACATGCATTTGCTGTTTTGGGACGCAGCGCCACCTATTGAAGACTAAGCAATGCTGCAGTCGTTGCAGCGGCCCTAGAGAATCTAGCTTCCGGCTTGATTTTGTACTTAGGTATTACACGGTGCTTTGTTATGTGTTATATTATTATTAGTATAATAACGTTAATATTAACGATGCAAAGTGCACGAGATACTCCGCCCGATGGCGCCACAAGGCCTACGCGCGCGCGCGGAATTGAGAGCGAAAAAGTGGCGGTTTCGTTTCGTTGACTGCATCGGTAACGTTTTGTTGTTTTGGGGCAATGAAATCTTGATACTTACGCGACGGTACCAGTGTCAGTGAGATTAATTTCGCCACAAACAAGGCAGTATACCGATTCGTCAGTTACGCCACCGCTGCCGCCAGAACGTCGTGGGAACTGTAGTATGTAGTCTGCATACTCTGCATGCGCGACAACTCCGCTGAAGGTCTGCGCGAGCAGTGCACGAGGCGGCACGAACTGTTTTGTCGCGCATGCCTGGAACGCTTGGCCTGGCAGGGATTTCAAGCTCTATCGATAAAAAAAAAAAAAAAAAAATTAAGCAAAAGTACGTGGTAGTTTTTTTTTTTTCTTTCTTCGCATAAAATGTTTTCAAGAACAGCACAAAAATGTTCTCATTCAACAGTCAGTCAAAACGTGTGCATGGGATAGATATATATGAACACATCCTTTCGCTATAAGGCAAAGAGAGGGAATCGGTGGCCTGGTGTGCTAGCCGGTGAACGCATATCGGCTCGGAGTACGTGGAGCGAAAGCTCGCGCTGCAGAACTTGGGGATCCCGGGTTCAATCCCCACCCCTGCCCGTTTCCATCTGGATGGGCATCGTACCGGCGTGCGGTCGTGTATCACTACTGCGTGACGCACATTACAGACCTCAGGCTAGCGGTTGTACTGCACTGGCTAAATTTCTTGCCTACAGCTGGGAGACAAGTCGCCCGTTGAGGCAGTTTAAGTTCTAGGCTGTATAAACACACACCCCAATTTTTTTACAAGGCAAAGAAGGTCAGCAGTACCGAGAAACGGGGTAGAATTTAGCAACGTTCACAGTGTCCCTTGGCAACACTTGCCAGTGGTTGCAACTCCCGAAGCTTCACGAAGAGTTATTTCAACAACTCTAAAACCCATCTGGTGATCTGTGACCTGACATCTACCATTTCTGGGAATGAAGTTGCATCACAAACCTTTCATCTGTTATATTTGTTTATTGTTCATAAATAGTAAAAAAGAAAACAGCACAAAAGATTTTTTTCCAATCCGTGGAAACTTCACGACAATTAGAGGCCCAGGCACTCAAGAAAGAGACCAGCTCTTTCTACTTGAAATTTACATTCGGTGCACCAGAACACTAACAAAAGAGGGGGGGTCAACAATATCATTGTGGTTTCAGCAACAGTAAAAGCAAAAATATTAAGACTCCATTAAAATTGAACATTCAAATAAACAAACCACATATGATAAATGTCAACCTTTACCGCGTGACTGACGCCCCCCTAGCTACAGCTTTGAGGGCTTCGCGTCATCCGCTACGCGTCCCTTTTGTCAACAGCTTCTATGGGCTGCTGCAACAGCCAGAGGGAGCCCATCACATTTCAACCAAAACAATTTCCTTTCACAAGCAGAGGTGCACAAAGCGAGGTTTCAAACGTCAAACACACTGGCTGTTATTCGGGCTGGCGAGAGGTGCAGCTTTAGGTCGTCTCTTGATAGCAACGACGACTTCCTTAGCACGTGGGTGCTCGGAGAACCTTGGAGTGTGCTTGTGAACAGGGTCTGCAGAAAAAGAAGAAACCATAGAATATCCTTCAATGATTTCCCAATAAACCAACATTAGCGTCAACTACTTAGTTCGCCTTTTTGGGATGTGCCTTAGGATAGTATGAAATGGTTAGTGTGTGAAAGAGCTTTGACATATCAATGTGATCATTAACTGAAGTGTCTCTGTTACAAGCAACAAAATGTTTTTTGTACACGTTACAAGAAAGACAGAAAATTCATTTTGCAACTGCGTTCAAAACAAAAAATATGTGGAATGTGACACCACTATACATAATGTATAATGCTGCACAGCAAACAGATTTGAGGAGCAAATAGAACACATACTAACGGATCGCAGAATGTCATAAAATGCAGACAAGGAGTGTCAACATTTTATGATGTGCAGCTTTGCTACACATCATATGTCGACACTCCTTGTGTAAAATAACAGCTACGACGATGCAGCATGTGGTTACACACGCCGCACGCACTGGTACTTCCAGCAGTAACTTATCTACAACAAAGCATAAAGCTATTGGCATTTTGCATGTGCTTTCATCAATGCCTTATTTTGGTCATTTCACTCCAATCACTCATACAAATAAGGCAAGTGCATGCAGCACGTGTGCTCATGTTTCTAACATGCTCATTGGCACTTCGGCACAAAGTCTATTTTCTGACTAGACATCATGACTGGTAATGGGATATGGTGAAACCATGTGATGGGCATTGTGATCACCGACGGCGATGGCAACTGACCAGTTGCTTTCTGTATTCTTGGTTATAGCACCAAGTTTTATTCTAGTGAGAGGAAAGCTATTTTAAGCAACAAAAGAAACAGAAGTCAAATAATCATGCTACACAAAATGAGTATGAATTGATTTATGGTTTTTGAATAATACCATAAGGAATGAAAAGAAAATATTAAAAAATTATTGCAACACGTGCTAAACACATGAATATGATCAGGAAGAAGTGAGACAGGAGTCACATGACATCAACAAGTTTAATTTGCATTCAGAACACCCTTTAACAATTAATTTTTATCAGCATGTCTCTTCTTCCTTTCCCTATCCAATATTTTCTATCGAAAAAAACAAAAACATGGAGCAAGTTTATGAGCTTATGAGAATAACACAAAATCTCTTTGCACATATTCTTCAACCATTAAATCAGAACCAGAATCCAATAAACATGAAAGATAGTGAATAGTGAAAGGAACTGAATTTGAAGTGAATTTAATTTAATTACCACCATACTAAAAATGAAGGAACTGAAGAAAAAAAATCCACAATAGAGCAGCTTGACAGAATTCCTGCCCACAACAAAGTTGGCAGTGGTGGTAAAAGCAAAGTACAGAACGGAGAATAAGATCTTTACAAAAAGGGGCTCGTAGAATACAAGCAAAAACAGTAGCAGCTGTACAATTTATAACAGAAATATAAGGACAATATAAAGAAAGTCAAACTATCTGAAGCCATATTTCTAGATACAAGCTTGTTTTAATTAGAAAGAAACAATTACTCCACCTTTTTTTTATTCTGGCTTTAAAAACTCGGCATGACCAGCTTTAGTCTGTACAACATTGCCACATAAGCCTGGCTCAAGTAGTTTTCACTGAAGCCCAGATAAAGCCTCAGGTAAAAAGTGTTAACCATTGCTTCACCGCATTATGTGAGCCAGCATGAAGGAAATGTAGAAAAGGGCCTCTCGAAAAGCGGTATTGGAAAAACGCCGAAACTTGGGACGAAATTACTACATTAATTAGTTTTCTAATCAAAAGCAGCAAATGACTGTCAACTCTTAACAGTTCATCCTGCTAGAGATAATCAGAACAGAACAAGTAATGACCAAGGTTCAATACCACTGGTATAGACTAATCCAACATGGATTAAGGCCCGACAAGTAGCCAGGAAGAAGACCACTCCTCCATTCCTCCTTTCCATTCAACAAAGAAGGAAATCTTCTAGCGGGGAGTAGCTCAGAGGCCCAGTCCTTCCGGGAGAGGAGCAGAAAAGAGTGAGATGGAATAGAGAGGAGGAGAGTGGAAAGGGTTTTCTGCATGGCAGAAGACGATTCTGTAAGTCGGTTTTTAAAGGGAAGCTAAGTGGTTTTGTATTTAAGGGAAAACACTTAAGTAGTCTTCATTTGGCCTCCAGAATTATGAGTATCAAAATTATATTTCAGATTGGTGCGCCAAGTAGCCGCAACAGTGCACTTTCAAAATAGCGCTAAAAGTAGGAAAATAGACCTTGTGCCAAAGTACCAATGAGCATGTTGGAAGCATAGGCATACATGCTGCATGCACTTGCCTTATTTGTATGAATGATTGGAGGGAAATGACCAAAATAAGACATTCTTGGCACGTTCGGTGTCAGGAGAGAATCGTGACACATTATACGAATATCGCAACACTTCCGCACCTCCCGCGAGCCTTACCTGGGCAGTCAAAAACGCTGCACACACACATTCCCTCACAAGCGGCAAGAGCAAAGCAGCAGAAATCTCTGGGTACGACGTCATACCTGGAGGTCAGTTTTCCGGTTTTTCTCGCGTCTATTGACACATTCTCTGGTCAAATGATTGTGATATTGAAATTCAAAGGACAAAATCATGCTAGAATTCATCTCTAACTCGTTTTTTTCAAGAATCTTTTCACCTTCTCTTTAAGGAATGCAGCATAAAAATATAAACATGAGGAAAATAAAAGAGAATTCCCTCACATTTGGTTTGGTCCTCTGGCAATTTCTCAAGTAGTCGATGGCACTCAGTTGGCAGGCATTAAGCAGTGGCATGGGCCCCTCCGTCCGCGGCTCCCGGTTTAGTCGCAGCTCTTGGGGCTTCTCGGAGCTCGAACCCAGTGTCCGTGGTGTATCTGCCACTCGCTTGGAGAACCCCGCCGGCGGCTTCTTGCCCACGCGGAAACAGCGAAAGCAGTACCACTGCACCTGTCCTCCGGCGTCAACATAGGCCGAACGCGAAGCTTCCAAGCACGTGCGGTGGTAGCAGTGACAGCACCTGTCATATGGAGAAGTGGAAGTGGGCAAACCATCACAATCAAGGCACCAGCAGTGACTGTCCCCCTAAATGTCCCGACTTTTCCTGGTTTTGCCCCGTCTGTCCTACCACAATCTGGCGAATAATTTGGAGGAAAAAGCTCGCGACACACACAACTGCTTCATTTATTTGAACGCTGCCTCGGGCGTACAAGATATAGTGAGGCATTCAATTAATATGAAGCCTTTGATGATAAATTCTCTTACAGACACCCAAACAAAAAAAAAAAAAAAACCTTGCCACACCATTGGCTTTACCTTGAAAGAACGTAGCAATGATGGCACCTCTAAAATTTCCACGCTAAAAAAACATGAGCAATGTTATTAGAGCACAGCTCTTAGGCGCCCGTTTCCGGCCTGAGCGGCGTTGCCGTCACTGTCGGCGTAATTGCGCGATGCATTACGGGAAATGTCCCATAATGCACCGCGCGGGATCCTCGTGACATCACGAGGGTCCCGTGCGGTGCATTATGGGACATTTCCTATAATGCAAAGCGCGGGGAGGACGAGGGGGAGGGGGAAGAGGGGAGGGAGGGAGGAGGAGAGGAGCAGCTTGAGGGATGAGGGAAGAAGGAGGTGAAGGAGGAGGGGAGGAGAAGGACAAGGAGGAAGAGGAGGGAGGAGGGGAGGACGAGTATCACTCAGGATAAGGAGGTGAAGAGGAGGGAGGAGGGGTATACCCTCCCCTCAGTAACCTTTCCTCCTCCCCTTCCTAAAGAGCCGTGCTCTAATTCAGCATTACAGGGAGTTGTAAATGTCTCTTTTTTCCAGCCATTCAGCAATTAAAAAAACTTATCCAGCTACCGTAATATCCCGAGTCATCGCCCACCCCCCAACCGCCTGAAATTCGTTAAAAAAGTGGGGTGGGCCATGTCTCGGTGGGTGAGCACAAACACTTAAAAGAAAAACGGAAAAAACCGCCTATTATACTCTGCGTATCTAGCGCTGATGCACAAGAGATACATCAAACTCAAAACTCGATTTAGTTTCATTGTTTTATAGAAAAAAAAATGCTCACGAAATAATATTTTACTATAGCGAAGTCCGTTGCTTGCATACGCGCTAGAAACACCGCCGATCTGCATATAGCATGAACGTTTGTTCCGTGAAAGAATGTCACCATTATGTTCTCCTAGTTAGTAAAAAAAAAAAAAAAAAAAAAAAAGAAAAGTCTACAAGAAAATAGAGAAACCGACCAGGCGCAACGAGCGAGCGGACCAAGAGCAATGCTGGGAAAGCGGGAAAGCCGGCGGTCGCGTTGGCAAATACTTTGGCGTCGGGCCAAGTCGGGCGCCTTGTCAATTGCAAGCTCTTGCGCAACTTTCTTGTTTGGTGCGTACATACGTGCGTCCATGCACGGCGGGCTATCAATGCACGGTTGGGACGCTCTGCAAACGTCTGTGTAGGACGTTCCAGCAAAGCTTTATTTACGCTTTGGCTTTGCCTAAAATATTGCACAACAGCGGTCGCGACGGGCGGGAAGAAGGAGCGGGTTCGCGGTGGCCTTACTCCGGCGGAGACAGACTTTGACCTAACACTCCGCGGTTACGTTAACGAACTCTTATTTTGTTATCTCCATCGTTTTCTTTTCGCACGGATACACGACCACTTTGGGGTCCCTCACGGAGGAAATGCGTAAACAAAAAGAAGTGTCTTTCCCTCCTTCGTTTTACTTTGACACGGACGTCCTCCAACTGTAAGGTCCGCGGCCGCGTCATTCGAATAGGATGAGTGTTCGCGGATCGCAGAGTCCGCGCTGGGGTATTTGAAGGGGTGGGCGATGACTCGGTGTTTCTTCGGAAATCGATATTGGCTCAAAAAATGGGGTGGGCGATGGTTCGGGGATGGGCGATGACTCGGGATATTACGGTAATTTTTTTTTTATTTTTTCCAAAATGTCATTTACAAATTATTTATATCTTTTCTTCTTAGAAAAGGGTAGCATTTAGAACCACATAAATATGCTATGCTCAAGACTGTAGTAATTCAGGTGAGTAATTCAACCAAGTTCTAAATGTTTTAACTGAAAACTGCCGCAAGAAACAAATCCACAATTTTCTGGCATCTTTTGGAGATGGGCATAGATGTCAGAAAATAAGAATCTTCAGTCTCTTTATCAGGGGAGTTCGGCTCCCTCCGATTTCAATTTTCTGGAGGAAGACCAACCGGAACATGACAACGTCGTCCAACTCTCCCGTAGCAAAGCTCTTGTTGCATGCGCAGCAGCTAGCCGTGTGTGATGCATAGCCACGGTTTGCAGCCAGTTTTAGCCGATGAAGATGGAGGTGTAGATCGCAGTTGAGCAGCCGGTTGGTGGTGTTCAGCAATGCCTGAAACATAGTTGGCTTGTCAGTCAGTCAGAGCCTACCACAACACAATACAATAAGGGCATGTGAGTAGTAAAGTAGACATCTTGATAAAATTTAAATAGGTAGTAAGTGAGAACTGACTCAGAAAGACATTCACTTCTTGAAAAAATCCCCACAGCATTAAAAATACTTCCGGCATCGCTGTACTGGTCTCGAAAACTGTAACACAAGATACTTTTGTCGGTTGTCTAGGTCATTACCGCAGCATTTTACACAACAAGCACTTCTCACCGTAAGCTTGAACGATTTCTTTGGGAACATTGTATGCAGAAAGTCCGTTTTGCCAACAAAAAGACCCATTAGAGCAGGGGTCGGGCAACATGCAGCCCACTAGGCAATATTATACAGCCCCTAGCATGCCACCAAAAATGACCCCCCCCCCCCCCCCAAGAAAAGAAAAAGGAACAAACAAAAAACAAATGGACACATAGGACAAGAAGAATGTTTCGTTGCAAACCCAATATAATCACACATATTAACTCAACAGATTTTTCAGATAGAATTCACTGCTCAGCTGATCCCAAAACAGCTGACGGATGTATCTGCAGCGAACGACCTCATTTAGATTTCCGCGGGCCTCCCTGAATTAAAGTTTTTAATCCTATGCAATCTCGTAGTGGCCTTGATCAAAGTGTTTGCTACAGCACATATATATCTGCAAATATACTTTCTCAAGAAGAAAATTGTAAAGTTAAACATGGATCTTGTGAATAAAACACGAGCACCTCCAAAATGGTCTATGACTCTCAATCTTTGCAAACTATATTGAACACAAAAATTTTTACAAAGACAGGGCTCCAGTAATCTTACTTTACCTGCTCCAGTTTCAAGAGAACATCTTTGCATACCAGATTGGATATGTGACAGTTTCTTTATAGTGTGTTTCTATGGGCTGACCTCCCCCTTCCCCCCTCTCTCAGTTTCTTCGTTCGGCCCGCTTCGTCTCCACTTTGCGGCAATTTGGACCACTGCATCAAAAAGTTGCCGACCCCTGCATTACAGCAGGGGTCGGCAACTCTATTTTAGTACACCCTTCAAGTAGAGATGCTGCATATTAAGAGAACAGCCATATATCATATTCAGGGATATTTGACAAGTATAGTTCTACATTGTGCTGATACCTAGGGATATATGTATTGAAAGCTTGTTAGTAGTTCCAATAAATTTGCCTGCTTTCCTTTGTGACTTACTGATCTCCCTCATAGAATCCCTGGCTTGTACAGGCTTTTCCTCACTGTGACATTTTTGCATATTCTACAAGAACTTTGATCATTATGAGCACTGAAGACTGTCAGTAATAACCACAGTGGTCTGCTAGGCTTCTTTATAGTCAATCCTAGTAGATTCAAACAACTTTACTCATACAAGTTGAAAGCTGTAATTGTGAGAGTTTTTGGATGGTTAACAGCAGTCACAATGCTTTTAGAGGGCAAGGTTGATCATTTTTACACAGTTGTAAAAGAAAGGAATCAGAATTCTCACACCTGACCTTTTCTACTCTTGAGGTCCAATCGATTTCCCTAAATATTCCTAGTGTACTCAAGTGACCGACTGATCCCTGATGTCCAAATTAAATATTTATTGGAGGTAATGAATGCTCAATTATGCAGGCACTGCAATTTGGTACGAAAGTCAATATTTGTACAACGAACTCATTAAACATGAGTAATCACGACACTCAGATCAAAACCGTGAAAGCAAATTAAAAGTACGTAGTTACTTTTTGGGACAGGAGATTAATTTGGGATTGACTATTATAGAGTTTGTAATCCGCAAAACAAGTCTGACATGGTTTATGGTCAGGCAGTTTTGATTGATTACACCCACAATTTTCACTCGTATGGTAGACTTTAAGTAGCTTATGAGCATGAATAACAGATGGAATGTGACTAGAGCATTTTGATGTGTTTGCTTTTAACTTCCAACGAACTGGGTAAAAAAAACCAGGGCAATGAAGAATCTTTCAGCATATACATAAAATTTGGATACATTCTATAACTAGATATAATCAAGGTGCAGACTGAGGCACTTATCATAATGTGGCATAAGCTTTTGGATGCCCTCCTCGAAGAAGCTTACCGCCTAGGTCCTCAGTCATCCCATTACGCATCAACAAGACCGTCAGTCACCCCCACATTCTTTTCTTGACCCCCATCATTACAGACGTCTGTTCGTCCTCCCCGGAACTTCACGCAGTTTCCTCCATACACCGGTTCAACTTTTTGCAAACACCAACTTTTCAGGCTCCAGATTCTGGTAGCCAGATAAAGATAAGGCAAAACGCCTGCAAGCACATACAGATAACCCTATGCAGGTACAAAACGAAGCATACACCCAACAAGTCACAGGCAGTAGGTTCCTTAGAGAACATGCTCCTAACCTTTTCATAGTTGTGAGTGTCTAGCATCTTCATGATGAAGTCCCTCACTTCACCAAACTTCCCCGAGCTGTACACAGGGTCCTGTAACCAGGTAAAGAACATCAGCCACACGAAGAGAAACAAAACATCAAGCTACATGCTGAAGCTTGAACATGCCTGAGCACGAGACGTTTATCATTAAACTGAAGGCCGACCTTTACATCACATGTATTTCAGATATGCACGTCTGGAAACTGCTGAGCATGTTGCACAAGGCCATGGAAGTCAAGGCCTCAAATAATAATGAATGTGTTCCATGCCCTGTCACGGACAGTGTCGGAACAAGGGGGGAGCTCACCCCTGGCATTTACTTGTTGTAATGGCGGCACCCTCGCATTACCCTCAACCCCTTCACCCCCTCGTCTCCAAAACACTTCCGAATTTACTCCCTGTGGCTGCATCATAGTACCATTTTTAGGGGTATGATCAAGTCCAATAAGCTTGAGAGCACTCTCTTCTTTTTTAGCTACAATCCTTCCTGCTTTGTGAAAGCTCTTCCGTGAATTCCAGGACACGAATCAACATTCCCCAGAACGTCACTAAATAGGGAACTGTGCTCCTTGCTTTCTACATGACACATCTCATTAATAGGTGAGCAGCGTTTGGCGTCTTCTGGTTCCTTAGGAAATTTTGTTTAGCTGTTGACAAACAATGACGATGATCTGCAAGCCTATCTAAACAAGGTTCTGAAAACTGCAATCTGGAGGTTTCAGAACCCCGCTTACACAGGCTTGCAGCTCATTGTCGTCGCTTGTCAACTGTGAAACAAAATTTCCTAAGGAACCGGAAGTACCCAAACGCCGCTCACCTATTAACGAGCTTGATGTTTGGAAAAAAACAAGGTGTGTCTCATCCGGGTCTTTTATGGTGCTTTTTCCAAACATCAAGACAAGCCAACTGGAGATTTTGCACCTGATTAGCTAATCTAACAAATTTCAACTCTTCTAGATAATTTAGAATGTTGTTTTTAAATTTTAATTTGCCATTTTTGTTTTCTAGTTGATCGTTCGTTGCACAATGTTGGCAACATTAAACGGACACTGAGAGGGTAATTATGCTTGCCAAGGTTTTTATTTGTACATGACATATGAGAGCCCAACTACCCAAAACACAATTTGCGGCTCCGAAATTTGTTTTCTCTCCACCCAAAAACCGCCGATTGAGAACTGGCCGGCGAAAGTCGCGTTCATTCACTTCTCTGTGGTCACGGGCCATTTTTTATGGTTTAGACACAACCACCAAATATAATCAAAGTCGTGGGTCATCGAAGGAACACACTCAATATTAAATATATAAATAAAATACGACACCAATTTTTTCTGGCTTCTAAAAAGCCGTAAATATGTTGATTGAAGAAAAAAAAGTTGCACAGCCACATGACTTCCGCCAATTCTCCCCTCTTCTACATTTCTCCTTCCTCCCCAGTCTAGTTTCAGTTTCGAGCAATTGCGTTTTTTATTTTATTAAAAATATACGTGACGCTGTAGCAAAATAGAGATTGGGTAGTCTTCTGACACCATAATAAATCACCTGGCAAAAAAATAAAAGAAAAATTTTGGGGGGTGTCAGTGTCCCTTTAAGGGGCTCAGGCAATGATATTGAATTAGAATGTTTTTTACATTACACAAGCTTACTAATACTAGTGGGACCCAAGTACACTTGCATGCAATGCTATTAACCAAGAAGATTCTTTGGTGCGGTGTTATCTCAAGGATAAAAACTGACTTTTTATTTCAATCTCTCTCTCACAAAACATGATGACGTACTCATCGAGATCAAAGTGTTGGCATAGCCACGGGGATTAACCATGATGACGATAGTCAAGCGCGGCTCATAGGTTTGACAAGAGAACTGTATGAGCACTCGGCTTGGGCTTGGGACATTCAATGCCTTGGAGAGCATTCGGGTACCAGCTCATGTCCAATCACTGCGGTGACGGGGATAGCTGAACCTTAACAGCATTTGGGACTTCAGCGCGTGCCCTGTGTTGCCTACCTTAACGCGTGGCTATGATGAATGTTGATGGCATATTATGGCACCCGATAACGTGGCCGGTTGTTCTGGCTCTGAGTTGAGGGGGTGAGCTCTTTGCATTCCCTTGTATTATTTTTAATGTGAAAGCATTAACTGTGTCATGGAGCCAGCTGACGGCATCAGTTTGAAGTGCGAAAATGACTCCTAGTTTCCGCGATCCCAATAGGAGCGATTCGCCTTCAGTTCCATTGGTTGGCGCGCGACGACAGGGCTCCCATTGGCCGCTGCGCCATAGCCTCTGAGATCCCGAAGCGCGCGCACGCTAGTACGCAGCAGACGACAAAGGGAGCGGACGAGCAGATGACAAGGGGAGCGGACGAGGGGCTTGCATGCTTTCACATTCACAACTCATAAGAAATGTTTAGGTGTACCTCAAGCTTTTTTTCCGTGACTGCCATTGCGTGTAAAGGCAAACTAATGGATGTTTCGTAGGTCATGAAGGACAAGGAATAATTCTAAGTACGTAATGTTTACTGAAAGTACAAAAAAGTGGAGTCTGAGTTCGAAGTGGTTTTGGCCGAATATTTACGAATCGAATATTGAAAAGTTTCTCCAATTCTTTCACTACTGCACCTTGCTTAAAAAAAACCTGAAAAGAAAAAAAAAATTTTAACAGTCTGGCTGGGTGTAAAAAAATTAATTTTATGTAAAAAAAAAACAATTTTTAGAGCAATACTGATGGCGCGAGACGCGATTTAGTCGGCAGTCTCCTGTTTTCCACTTGTTTTCTCTCTCGGCACTTCGGGCGCGTGGAGGAGAGGTGGATCGGCTTCGCCTTCACGACCGAGATGGTCATTCTGGAATGACCCATGACATCATGGACTTCACAACAGAATTTCATATAAATCTTTCGCCGTCAATATTGCTCTAAAAAAGTTTTTTTTGCGTAAATTTATTTTTTGACACACGTGGCAGCCCAGCCAGACTGTTTAAAAATTTTTTTTTCTTTTCAGAGGTTTTTTTTAAGGGACACTGACACACCCCAAAACATTTTTTTTAATATTTTGACAGATGATTTAATATAGTGCCAGGAGACTACCCAATCAATATTTTGCTGTAGAGCCACATAGGTATTTTTCATAAAACAAAAAAAAAATTCAATTGCTCGAAACCAAATTTGAAACACGAGCACAAAAGCTCATGACCGGTAGTCACGTAACTACATCTAATCACTTTTTTTTTTGTCCTCCGCTTCTCCGGCGTGTGAGGCAGGCGACGACAACGAATTTGCGTGCAATGTTTGTCGTGCGATTGTTTCGCAGTTATATCCCTTCCGCTCAATGTTTTGTGCTTGAAGACCGAATGGCTGGTACCACGAACGACAGTTCCGAAGCAGCGGCCCCACATCCGTCGCAACGTTGGTCTGTCATGTGCCACCATAGCGTCGTCCAGCCCACGGTACGTCGCCACATTGGGAATGATGAGTACATGTACTTCCTGCAATCTGTGCAACACATTTTTTTCGATCAGGGTATTTACAGCTTTTTGAAGGCCACAAAAATGGGGTTCATATTCCTTTCTATTTTTAATACTAAATCTGTGCCTTAGATGACCCACGGCTTCAGATATATTTGGTACACATAGTTTGAACGCCACGTGACCATGGAAAAGAGAGTGAGCGCGACTGAAACCGGCCAATTCTCGACCGGCTGTTTTCGGACGGAAAGAAAGCAAATTTCGAGTTGCAAATTGTGCTCTGGGTAGTTGGGCTCTAATAGGTCATGTTAAAATAAAAACCTAGGCGAGCATAAATACCCTGTCAGTGTCCCTTTAAGGGGAGATGCAGGCCAAAAAATGGCTATATTTTGCAAAAGATGTGATTTTGGGTTTTATGGTGTTTAATTATCTTTAAATCTTTATATTCTACGTATAAAAATAGTAAATGCCAGTTATGATTGGGAAAATTAGTCAAATACGCAATGAAGATCGCCCCGACAACTTAGAACGGTATTAACCTGAGCCTTTTTTCTCTGCATGGTTATTCAAACTGTGACGTCACCAGCCATCATTTACGTTGACAAGTAGGCCTAGCCATCTCTTCTCCATTGCAGTCTTCTGTAGCTTCAATTCCTCACGAAAATTATTAACAAAATATTATTTTTCTACAGCGAAAAAGTATAGCTAGACATCTATGGTAACTTTTGAAAGCCTTTTTCTCTTTATGCAATTTTGAGGCATCTTCACACTTTGTGCACAAAAACGTTTGTTCTAAATAATATCCTATCACAACCAAATGGACCTCTTGGCGAATATGTGCTGCCACCTAGACACGCGACTGGGGTCGAGGCTAAGTGGCGAGAAAACAACGCGCGCGCGAGGCCTCTCCCACCCGTTGCACTCCCAAAACGTCAGCTACATCCTGTTCACCCATTGAGACGCTGTGACCTAGATACGGCTCCCCCTAACTCGCCTTTGTCCCCATCGTGCGTAATCTTCCGCCCCGAAGTCGACACAACGAAACCATCTTCCCTCTCTGCTCGGCCAGAAGGAAGAGAGAGAGGGTACTGGAACCAGTTACTCTCGAACCAATGTTTCTGCAAAAGGTCCATTTGGCATGCATATAGGTACTTTAGAATATGTAGAATGTAACTATCTAGGTATGGTTAACATATTTATTTCTTATATTTATGAAAAATTTAAGAGACTTCTGATAGCCCCTTTAAAATGGCATTTGGGCAATTTTGAATTATTTTAAAATAAAATAAGTCTGACACAGATTATTTTGGTTGTTCATTTCACTCAGAAAGGCAGATGGGTTGCCAAACTCCCTTGCTAAGCAACATGCTATTCCCAGGGCTCAAAAAGATGCTCCAACTACTTTATCTATGTGGTCATCAAATCGTAGGCCCAAATCAAATCTAACGCCGATATCTCTTATGCCACAAGTGCGAGACAGTAAATCTCCTCGAATACGATAAGGGAAACGGACGTTCTGAGTTTTTTAAGAAAGTATCATCACTTCAGTTTTTAATGATTTAGAAAAAGCTTGTTTGCTATACACAAATCGTTGAATGAACTCGTGTCATTATAGAGCCTCATGCAGTGGTCAAGTTCGAATTTCGCGATATATCTTTATATCATCAGCATACTGCAAGAAAGATGAATGCGAGATGACAAGCAAGACATCATTAACACATATAAAGAATAGGAGGGGACCAAAAACAGCCCTGAGGCACGCCCGAGTTTATTCTGTATGTCGTGAAATTTATATGGTTAACTCGAACAAAACCTTCCCTGTCCAGTAAGTAGCTCTTAAGTCTTTCTTGACCGCGTCCATGGGCCATCCATCACCGGTGATCGTTGGTTTTCAAGCGCCGTCAAGAAATTAAATTTAGTGTGGAGAATTATGTTCCACAATCTCGTGGATAGCCGAAGAACTCTAGTTCCAATTTCAATGTAGGTTTGAGCTTTATCACAAGCTAATGGGCTGCCAAAAACAGTCCTGGAAACGGTGGTTGCACTTGTCTAACATGGCTAACTGGTTGCATCAGTCTTCGTAACAAAGATGGCATTATTTACATAATTCAACTGCATTGTGTCATATTCTTTAGACCTCAAGAGCTCTGGGGACAATTTAAATGATGTTATAAGCATCACTTAACAGATGCTTGTCGGTAAGCATCACTATAATTTCCAATGCGGTCCTAAGCCGGGATGCATATTTTATGTTCCCAGCAAGGTGGATAAAAATGCTAAATATGAAGGAACTGCAATCAAGGCTATGACAAAGCTAAGGTAAGACACAAAGAAAGCATTCTGCTGGGGATGTGATGTGCTCTATCTGTGTTTCACCAATATAAGCACTCCTACGTTGAAAAGCACACGTATTACGGAGGCTAACTCTCCGACGAACCAAAAATAGACGTCAGTTAGACTACACTAACTTTCAGAAATAATAGCCGTAGGTGTGGGGCACATTTTCTCCATTTTGAATTTTTCTTATTTGTTGTTTAATTTGGAATAGCTGTAGAAGTTTTGGCGTTTATATGTTTTCCGCACATACATTGTCCTTTCAAGAAATAAAAATTTAAAATCTTTTTTCCTGCAGTATAACAACCTCCATTTCTTTTGAAAGAACAACTAATTGGCCACATTTAGATGTGTCATATTGCTCCATATGCAAGTTAGTTAGGAAAATAAAAGCGTTTGCACGAATCTTTTGAAAATTACTACTTTCCCTGTGGTCAGGAAACAGTTAAAGGGATGCTGAACCGAAATTTGTATTTTGCAAAATAAGGCCGCAGAAGCGTTGAATGGGACACTACGGACTCCAAAACCTCACTCATATATTGACATCTCAAACGGATGGCCATATTTTTGGAAAAGAAGGGTGCAATCAAGCGAGGACTATGACGGCACGATCCTCCTGGAACAGTCAAGAATGAGGGTGTCCGGCCTCGCTTCTCTCCTCCTCGCTTCGGTTAACCTGCTCGAGGGAACGAAGCGAAGAGGAGAGGGAATGAGGATCAAGAAGTCACATGCCTTGTCGGCCACGTTGACTGTGTTCAATCGCGCACTTCTTTTTAAAAAATACGGCCATCCGTTAGAGACAGTACTGTATGAGTGAATTTTTAGGGTTTGCAGCATCCCGCCTATCACTCCAGCCTTGTTTTGTGAGCTTCAAATTTCGGTTCAATATCCCTTTAAACGAAAACCCAGCTAAACTATGAAGGTAGTTCCCAAGCTTCCACTTGTTCCTTTATAAGCTAATTTTAATCTAATTATATTTATGGACTGTGACCTCAGAAAGTCTGATGCCTTTGGATGGCGAGTAAACAATGAATTTGACATAAAGTTAAAACTAGAGATACCCAACTATACCGAATTGAGTGAATTTACAAATCTTGCTATATGCGAATATTCCTTCTTCAAAAAAAGGAATATTCGTGCAGCGTTCTCGAAGTGCACGATTTCGACGGTGCTCCCCCCGTCCGGCCCCTCTGACCTACGAGACAGCGACAGCAGTGACTGCGTCATCGTGACAAGCGACGACGAGTGAGACACAAGCCCATAGAGAGACCCTATCTGCGTGAATAAATGTAATATTCATGGGGCATAACTTGCTTATTAAAAAGACAAAAAAAGCAACCAAAATTTTCTGTTTTCGTTGGCAGCTTTTAAAATTAGGGGGGGGGGGGGTCAACTTATATTTGGATAGTCTTATACGCGGCAATAGACGGTAGTTTCAAGCAATTAAGCCGTAACAATATGCCCCCTTTTGCGAACAACAAACCAGGGCACATAGTGGGACGAAAAGAGGTGGAATTTGGGGAAAACGCTCACCTGCATCAACTTATGCAGAATGTGCGGTAGTGCTACAAATCCCATCATGCTGCCCAAAAGGTGATGAGTCAGGGCTTGGAAGTCTGCGACCAGCAAAGAACTCACTTTGACACTTCCCACCTGCTCTGGCTTGTTGATCAACTCACCGCCAAGTTGCTCAGGGCCGAGAAGTGTACGCAGCTCCCGCTGTGGGGCCATGACCACTTCCAGAAGTGGAAACCACAGGGCCTGTTTCACAAACACAAAAAGTGGGGAAAAAAGAAGGAAAAACAAACTGTAAAACACTGAGGACCGAGAATTTGTTCCAGACTGATTCACCCAGTCCAGGCTCCAGTCAATACCACAGACTGGACCACATTCAAACAAGGCTCAAAGATGTATTTAAACCTAATAACCACCTTTCTTGGCTTTTACAGTGCAAAGACCTTGTTAGCATCCCTAAGCTTTCAGAATGGATGAAGGACAACCAAAGATGCTGGAAACTTTTTTCGAATCTGAGGTTCAAAACTCAAACCAGGAGATTCGAAAGGTATGAGAATGTTTAAACTTTCTAATTTATTGCGTCGAGAAATTCAAAACTTTTTAACCTTCAAATGTGTGAAGCTGAAAAGTTTGACGAATTTCGGTCCACTGAAAACAGCTTGACAATGAATTGAATTTCTCCAAAACATGCATCAATCAGAACCCATTTTACCTGTTTTGAACACTTAGCAACTGCGGAAAATTACCAACAACCATGCTCACGTTGTGCTAATGAGGATTCATGAATGGCAAAAAGTAATAATGTAACCAGAGCATGATCACTGTTGCAAGAAGCACTCCAAGCTCCAAGGGGACAGTGAAGCTGCCAAATCAGTTAACAATCTGGTGGCAACAATGGCTTTGCCAGCTTTACCGATTTGGGACCTAACACAGCTTCTGTGTCAGCTATGAAATGAATGAAAATTTTGCCGTATATATAAAGACACACCCAAATATTTACAATAATAAATAGAAAATAATAAAGGTATGGATTCAAATCTACGGAACTCGGTACTCCGTGAGATTCAATCAAACTTCAAACTCTGTGAATTTGGATTTGAAAGAAATTCAAAATCTTAAATTTTTTCAAAACTGCTTAACTTGAATTTTTAGAAACCTTGGAAGCTTTGAAATTTGCGAATCTGAACCTCGGCAGAATCTGAAACTTTCGAACTTTGCTAGTTCGAACCCCAGTAAGGTTAGAAATTCTTTAAACCTCTTAACTCGAACCTCGAGGTTTGCAACATCTCTACTGGTAACGTATGCAGGATAAGTAGAAAAGAACAGAAGCCTGTGGTATGAAGCTGTATGTAGTAGAGTAGTGATTTTCTTGTTATGCCAACTCTGCACTATATTCAGATACCATAGTCAGCACAAAACGTTGCCCTCCACCTAGAAAACCGTGCAAGCAGAAAAAAGACCTGCCTCTCGTTCTGCTGTGTCCATCTTGCTGGAGCTACGCTGGCATAGTTGTACAACAGTGCACAGCTGGGCATCTATGGCATTGAATACTGCATCCATTTCAAACTTATGGCTGGCATCCCGCTTCAGCTCAGCATACTTGTTAAGCTTCTCTCGCAGAACCTAGTGAAAAACCACACAGAACAGCTGTGAGAAGAAATGAAAAACCAAAAATAGTAAGAGAGAGGGGCCGCCATGGCTCTCGCCTACCTCGAGCAAGATTGAGAATGCTCCTTGAATGTCTCCGGCCCTTTCCAAGAGATATGCAGTAGCATCACAGACTTTGTGTCTACGGCAGATCTGTGAGAAGTGGCAAAGTTAGAGATGGGAAAACAAGACCTGTAGCAGCTTTCTTTCATCTAAACAAATACAGTCCTTGAGATAAACCTGTGTCTAGCAAAACAAAAAGTACTAGATATAAAACAAGTTACGAGACTAATGTCTAGAGAAAAACTAAGCTGCTAGCCTGGCAAGTTTTACCTTTCATACGCATCCAATGATCACAAACATTCCACATCGGGATATGCTTTTTTAAGTCAAACTTTTCAAAAACAACAAAAGGTAATAACTACAAAAAATTCAAAGTGCTCACTCGGCTGGTATTTTGACTGGAGCAAACAAAAAGCAAACATACAGCCGACTTAGCACCGTCGCACAGCATGCCCAACATAGTACCAAAGGTGCCTAGAAGATAGTGCCAAACATAGTGCTCAGTAAACAATTAGCACTTCTTATCTGTTCTTCCCGAGTGTTCTTACTTTTTTGTCTCTCTGCTCAGGGTAAAGCGTTAAGAAAACATTCTAATTTGCAAACTCCCGCTAACAGATAGAGTCAGTGTGTCCCAACCTCCAGTGTTTCTTCCAGGCGGTAACCATCAAACGAGGAGATGAACTGGTGAACAGCACCGGGCTCAAACTGGCACATGAGGTCGATGTATTTCTCCTGGACCTCGGCAGCCAGCCCACGAGAGTCCTTGGCCCCGGGAACTATGCTTTGGGCTGCAGACGAGCTTTGCAATTCCCTACAGATAATGATACAAAGCTTATGTTTTTAAAATGGAAGGACAAGCAAAACCTCAATCTGTCCCTCATGTACTAGCATGGGCGAGCGTGTTACATGTGAAAAAAAATTGGCAGCATGAAGTCGAAAGACAAACAGCGACAGACCATACTGCCCACCCTATGGGCTCTAGTGATGTAGTACTATGCAGGTAAGCTGCAAGTGAGCATAAGCATTTATACTTGGGGACTACTTTCTGTGGCAATAAATTGTCAAAGCTATAGGCGCTCAGAAGCTCGCACACTTTGAGTGTCGATCAAGCTGTGCATGCACAGTCTCTACTACCTCGGAAATGCCACACAAAGTTGTCCCCAAGTGGTAAAGTAGTTTTCTAACGCTTCCATACATGTCCAGCTTTCCTCCTAGCAATGGGCACAGGCGGGCTGCTAGAATATTGCATGGGCCAAATTCTGAAGGCCTGTTCCGACAAGAGCTTAAGTTTAAGTTTCTTGGTTCCGTATAAGGCTACTGCCAATGGTACTCGCTGGGTGGTTTCATTTGAGTTCAGCCAAACTTGTTGAGGGAGGGAAGGGGAAGAGTTTTCACAAGTAAAAAAATAAAATTGTATGTTCACCTTAAAGGATAGGACTGCCCTATCCTTCCTAAAGGACAAAACTGTGCTTTAAAAAAATTAGAATAAAACAGTTCCACAGAAAAGAATCCCGAAGTGTCAAAAGGTGAAATGTGAGACTCAAATTGATTTTTTTCTCAACTTTGGACGGCATTTCAAGACTGTTGGCAAATATATTTTTAGGCTGCAGGGAATGTTACGGACCATTTTTATCAATAAAACAATTACTTTTAGGTTTTATAGTTATTTTCCTATAAAATAGTGAACTTGCTACCTGGAGCAATTTTGCCTCCAATTTGAATTTCTCCAGTAAGCAAACCGTTAAGACACTGACAAGAAACAAGCATCAGTGCATAGCTATAATTGTAAGCTATCTGGTAGTGCAATTTTTGTCTTGGTACTGTTTAAAAAAAAAAAAAAATTATATCTATAGCTTTAAGTTTGTTACAATTATAAAATTTTGAGATGTAAATTTTTTTCAAAATAGTTTTTTTTTTATTTGTATGTGATAGCTTATAAAGTATGTAAATACTGGATATAAGTCTTGGGTGTAATATTTTTGCTGTATATGGGGAACAACCAGTTAAAGTCAATTTTAGGCCTGGCACTGAATCCATGGTTCAACAATGCTGGCTTCACCGCAATGCTACTGGCTGCCTCAATAATAACATGTTCTTGGAAGCCATTTTACCATGATTTATTTGCAGTTATATATGCTCATAGCAACTCCTGGAATATCCAAGGGACGTTACGGAGGGTTAAAAAAAGGCTCGAGGTACACCTAAGCACTTATGAGTTGTGAATGCGAAAGCATGAATGTCATTCTTGAGCGTGTTTTCTTGAAGTGGCCGTGCCGCGCTGGTCCGGAGTATGCTTGAGCTCTCTCTCTCTGGGAGGCCTTGCCAGCCACAGGCTTCCTTTTCCTGGCGCGCTCTGGCACAGCTTTATCCGGCGCGGGCACTTAGCGCCATGGGGTGGCTCTCCAAGAAACTGACGTGCCTCGGCCAATGGAAGCCTTGTTCCTTGTAACTATGACACGCGCCAGCCAATGGGAGCCAATGGAAAATCCATGAGATTTCGGCTTCACTTGGAGAGGTGAATTTATTTGACGTTTGGCTCGGCTTTTTGTGCGGTTTAACTCTGCTTCATTGAGAAAGGGGAATTTATCTGCCGTTTGGCGCAGCTGATGACGTCTGCTCGCTCCATGGGACAGCATTAAAAACCATCCAGACGTCCCAGACGTGACGCTCGACCCTCGCCGAAATTTTAAAAAAAATTCACAGGGGTTCACACTAGGCTGAGTAGTCACTTGCACAAATATTTGTGGTTAAATGTTTTTTTTCCTTACGTCAGCACTATTTCAAGCTCCCCAAAAAGCGCGAGAGATGGTACAAGTAAAAAAAGTAAAAAAGAATATGAATGATTAGTTAGCAATGCCCAATTTATTTATTTGAAGCTACTTGCATTTGTGCAGAATATGAAACCAAATTCAAGGTAATAAATTTGTTCTTGTATTGTTTTTATTCGATAAAAAAGCTCAATTATGCCGTTTTCGAGGTACTTTTTTTTTAATTTATTCTTCCGTATAAATGCTCTAGGAGTGTTTTTAGCCTGTATTGAAGGAATATTTTATACACACAATATCTTCATACTTTTAGAAGAAAGGGTTTCTTTAATATTAAAGCGTAGAGAAAAACGCTGTTTTGGCTACAATTCAGCTGCAAATATTGCACTGAGGTGGACCAAGTAAAAATATACCAGACCATTCAAACGAGAGTATGTTTTAATATCTTGCGATTTACAAAGTTTAATCGAAATGATAATTTTTTTATGCGAGAAAACATTTTTTGAAATCAAGCTTCCGCGACATCGCGCAGGGTGGTTACATGCGGCACCTCTCTGCACAGCGCGTAGGCGATGGGTTGTGTCTGATGCACGGTACAAGCTGAGGTGCTTGATATGGGACATGTGCCTTAGTTTGTCTCTATTAAGTTGCCACAAAACTGATGAAAAGAGAACAATTTATTATTATCAACATTTTCCAGGCAGTGGGTCACACCTCGAGAATTGACTTCTCAAAATTTCGTTTGTGATCAAATATTTTTGGGAAGCTCACTGTTGAAGTGAACGTTGTAGTTCTCAGACTTTTTTTGACAATTGAACTTGAACATCAGTCACTAAGTATGATGTTATCGAAACACTAAGCGTTGAAGCTGAAATTGGCTTGAAGTAATGAAACAACCTGCATATCCTTTATGGTGACTGCTGTCTGGAATCCTGAAGCTAGTTAGGCTCGCTTTTCAAGCACGATGACACATGGTACCCCTAGGACGTTTACACCGTTTAATATTTTTTTTTCACCCATGTAAAAAGCTCTAGTGGGGTGGTTATTTGGTTTTGGTACAGGCTTTGAAGGCTGGCCCTTGTTGTCAAACGTTTCATAGTTCCTCTGATGCCATCACAGGGACTTTTCCCCTTTTCAAGTTGCAAAGAAATTTCATTCAGCCGAAAGACTAAAGTCTTTATCGCAAAAGCAAAGGTTTAGAAAGTTGTTTTTGTTTTTGTACTGTAAAACTGCTCCGTCGGAAAACTAAAAAAATGTTTCTTAGTTGTGGCAGGTCATACTTTATAGAATTAAAAGGTTAAAAGCGCGAACAAAACAAGGACAATAAAGACACAAAGACAACAGGACAGGCACTAACTCTTAACTGATTTTATTAGAAACCATCGTTGCTTATATACACATGCTCATTTGCCTACAACCAATCATCACTCCACTCCTACAAGTCGGGCAAATGAGTGTCTGTAGTATAGTATAAGTGATAATGGTTTCTAATAAAATCAGTTGAGAGTTGGCACCTGTCCTGTTGTCTTTGTGTCTTTATTGTCCTTGTTTTATTTGTGCTTTTAACCTTTTAAACCAATATGAACCAACTTGACCAAACCCAAGTTTTAACGCATTCTTTAGATGTTTCAGAAGCTTACTGTGGAATGTATACACAGCTACAGTATCATGTTACAGGCAGTCTGAAATGACAGAAGAAGATCCGACAGATAATTCTTCAGAGCTTTCTGGCATATGGAAATAAAAAAAAACAGGGTGGAGTGTAGCCTCTGCGTTGACCCAGTGATGCGAGTGTGGGGCGGGGCGTCTTGTAGCAGGAAACTGTGATTCTCGGAAAAATCCATACGCATGATTGTCTCATCGCCCTTTAGCTGCTTTTAGTTCTCACAAGTAGCGGGCTTGCTGTTTACTTATGTAATGGTGACCGTTGATTTCGTTCAACAAGTCTAAAGATTTTTCAACGTATTCTTGCAGTGTTAACAGAATTGTTTCAAGCTTGCAATGCAAGTCACTCATCCACTATTGAACTTGAACATGGGATTGGTGTCAAAGGCAGGACTTTTCTGGAGCAAGGTCACAATGTATTCGGTGCCGGGGCACATGCTGCACTTGCCAAACATACAATCCCCCTCATCAACTTGACACACTGCGGTCGCTAATAATTCTTCAGCGGTCTCCTCGAGTTCACTAGCGTGTAGCATCAGCTTCAAGTTTTGATGCTGCATGCATACGCGAACAGTGTGTGCCCCCCTTGTCCCAGCTAAAACAGAGTTTGGGGGGGTGCATACTGGCAAAAGTTGAAAATCCACAGTTTACGTTTGAGCCTTTCTTTCATTCTTAGCGAGCTCCTTTAGGTTCATCAAAAGTAGCCGCTTTTGACGGCCGTGCAGCACATCTTTTTTCACCCGGGAGGCAGTAGAAGACTGAGTCGTTCTCAAAAACTTTCTTGACAGAAGTCTTCACGTTTTCACTGACAAGGAAACTTTTTTTTTTTTTTTGTGTGTGTGTGTGTAGAGTTTTAGTATTTTACGCTTTTCTTTGGTTTTTATGGCCTCACTCACCTGCCGCTTGGACGCCCAAAAAAAACTTTATAATTTTTCCACGAGACCAGGAATGGGGTTAAGAACAAACAAAACACAATTCTTTGATAACAAAACTCTTTTTTCACAATTTTTCTTCCTATGCAAACTGCTTTTTAAATTGCTCATTCACTGCACATAATCAGAGAGAACAAAATCTTTCTCTCTGTGTCCCCACAAAGTAGATGGCTGGTCAATGCCATGAGACTGGCATAGTGTTTTCTCTGCTTTTTGCTGAAGCCTGGATACTTTCTTCCTCACACAGGATTCTCACCTCCATTGTGCTTGCTTGCTTTTTAGGGGGCTCTCACCAACAGCTGCCAGGGCTTCATCAATCGTAGAAGATGCTGGCACTTTCGAGTCATTTTCATCGGATAGAGCAAAACATTCCCGAGCTGCTTCCTCAAATTGAATAAACTTTTCGGACATTCCAGGTCGATACAAGAGACTTTTGAACATTTGGCAGA